CCTGTCCCAAAGATGAATGAAATAAACTTGTATAGCATCGGGAGTCAAAACAAAAACAAACAAACAAACAAACAAAACAAAGCAAAAAACACCTGTCTCAGTTCATGAGGGTTCTTGGGCTATGGTTGAACCAGGTTTGGATTCAAAGTTTCCCTTATACCCCGTAGACCCAAATGAAATGAATTTGATCAAGTGTTAATTTCCTCTTAGGGGAATCTGACCCCACCTGCAGGACAGCATCACAAAAAAAAAAAGCCAAGCATGGGGACAAAGTACAATGTTCTATTTTAGTAAGAGAAGCCAGCATCTGCCAGGAGTCACAGATGAACGTAGGTATATTCTGTGAGTCAGGGGAAGCATTAGAGCATCTTAACGACGCTCATTCTTGTGCTGCTTCTTGCTTAGTTCAACTTTTTGAAACAGCCTTCAAGTAGAAATCGTACTCATAACGTATGGCTCATAGGACACCTGCCTCTGCTGGCCATATGGCTACAAAACTGAAGATCCATGCTCCAACAGAAATTCTGCATTGTGGAGACATCGTGCCGCCAGCTTCTTAATCTTCTGTAGTTGACAAGGTGATAAGATCAAGTGTGATTTCTGAGATTTTTATTAAAGCTTGCACATCATTTGGGAATATTCATTTGATAAAATCTGGTGAAGAATGGATAATTTCTGCTGTATTATCAAAAAGTTGATTTTCTTTCCTTCTTTGTGTATATGTGTGTACATGTGTGCATATAGGGGTTGGGGTGGCTGTGAACGCATCTCTGGGTATGCTCATGTAAGGAATACATACCCAGAGGCCAGAGACCCATATGAGGCATCATTCTCAATTCATTATGATGCTCCAGTGCCTTCCCTGGCTCACAGAAGGATGTGCCTGTGTTCAGCTGTGACTTGGGCCAGGGGCTGGCTTCTCTAACTCATATCATGTTTTGAGGCAGTTTCTCACTGAATCTGGAGCTCATCAACTGCCTAGGTGGCTGACCTGGAGAGCCAATTGCCTCTAAATGTCCAGTGCTGGGACTTTAGGCTTGCACCACCATGCCTAAATGCCACATGCCACCATGTATATGTTGGTGCTAAGCTGAGGATGTGAACTCAGGTTCCTGTACTTAGCTAGAACAAGCTATGGCAAGCTCATTATTAGCCAAGACAGCTTCCCATCCCTGAAAATTGTCCTTGTTGATCATCAGATTTACTATGTTAACCAAGTGAGGCCTTTTTAGTCTGAACTGTTAGCTTGGCATGAAGCTTTACATTCCATCTCAAGAGTCATCATTTCTCTGAATTAAAAGCAAAGCAAACAAGCAAAAATCTAATCTTCTCCCTTCCCTGACTTCTGTGAATTTTGGAACTGTTGTGGCTGTCTTCCTCAGATAGGCAAGGAGAAGCTGCCTGATCCCAACTCTCATGAAGAAGGACAAGATAAAAACCAGACTGAGACAAAAAGCATGTGCTGATACTTCTTGAGCCTCTGGATCAATCTGTGCCTGGAATCACAGTCTGTTTTGGTTTGGTTTTTATTGTTTTATTGGTTTTATTGGTGTGCTTTTTCAGTTAAATATGCCAATAAATTTCCTTTGACTTCAGCAACTGTGAATTAGATTTCCATTGGCTTAAAAGTTCTAACAAATAATGTTTTGAAAAGAGCTGACAAGTATTACCATTCACATAATTCATTTTCTTCTTACTTAAAAATTGGATAAAGTTTATCAATGAACTCAAGAAAGTGAAAGTTTTGGGCAGCATGCTCTTGTGTCAGATTTATACTAAAAACAGGCTAAGGATATATTCTTTCAAAGGCATTAACATTAAATAGAGAAGAATGAAAGCTTGGCTTTTGAGATGTCCTTGTAGGCAGTTCGCCAACAGAGGAGAAAGGAGTGGAAGAAAGAATCTTTGCCCATAGAATCAGAAAAGAAGCTCCATGAGAAAGAAATTTCTCAGAGAAGTGCACACAGTTTCCCACGTACAAATGTGGGACATACCTGCCAGACCAAATCAGGGCCAAATTTAAAACGTGGAGATTCCTGCAAGAAGATAAATCATCAGTGACGTCATTTTCTTCTTTTCACTCAACAGACTTTAGTCCAGGATCAACTGGGTGCTGGAAGGTGTGTCTGGAGAGGACCATCCCCTATTGGGATACAGGTGCCTTCTCCGGGACCTTTAGAGACTTCCACACAAATCAGCAAGTCTGTAGAGCACACAGAACTCCCGGAGAGCAGTAGGCTAGAGTTCACACAAAGCTTGAGAGAAGCAGGATGCTGCAGACCCTCACAGCAAACCCCTTTGCAGAGTTGATGCAAATGTTTTTGGACACAAACGGTGTTCAAAAGTTCACCCTCTGTTTCCCTAAGGAACAAAGGACAAGTATGGGATATCTTGTCAGCTCTATTTCATGTCATCTTCCTGAAACTAGGGGGCTCTTAGAGAGCCTTTTCTGTATTTCTGAACAGGGTATAATGGCACGTGTAATCCTGGCATTTGGGAAGGAGAGACAGTAGAATCAGGAATTAAGTCATGGTCATCCTTGGTTACATAGTAAATTTGAGGTCAGTATGTGAGGTACATGAGCCATGAGACTGCCTCTAAAGAACAAACCATCTCTTTTTTTTTTAACCTTAGTCACTAGTTAACAATGATGATTTTCAGCCAAAGCCAAGATAAAAAAACAATCTCGAATTCCAAGCTCTGAGTTTAAGTTCTGTTCAGTAGACCCCTCTAAGGCTTGTCCTGTCTAGGATCTCAACACTCTCTCTAATTTTTAATGTGCAACATTGGGTGAGATCAGAGCCTCTGTCACAAGTACATACCTGATATAGGAGATAACCCTGCACCAAGAGCCTCTCTAACTCAGTTTAGGTTTGTGGAGGCTAGATACTAACTGGACAAGACTTCTCTGTGGATAAAATATAAGATAACACTCCTGCAAGCTAGGGGGCACCCAAAAGGACAACAGAACTTGGGCTCTGTTTCCTCGAACATACATTGGTTTTTATTTATCCTAAAAATACAATTCTATACCTACAATCAGCATCACCAACATCCACTGAAGAAAACTTTTGGGCTCAGTTTACAGAGAATATGCTTATTTTAATCTCACTCTTATATTCTATGTTCTCCCACTTAGCTAGACGAAATGAAAGCTCTTTACTTATTTTTTTTGTCTTATAATAAAATATGTAGCTACAACAGTAAATAGAATAAAACAGAATTTCTACTTTAAACAGTCACCAAAAATGTATCTGTCTTCGAATGGTGACATTTAACAAGGAAACATCATCCATACTTGGCAAGATGACTCTCAAGAGATTTCTAGAATTCCCTTTTTCTTTATTTAAAGGAATGGAAATTTAGAAATAGATTATATACATCCTCTTCCTTATTACTTTTTGTGTTGGCAACTGAGGCAGCCAATGTAAAGGTAGGCATGAGGGAGGCTGAGCCACACTCATAACTTAAAAGCGATTCACTTCAGTTGCTCTCTGTCTCTCTGTCTCTCTGTCTCTCTGTCTCTCTCTTCCTCTCGTGTGTATGTGTGTGTGTGCGAGTGTGTGTATGTGTGTGTATGTGTGTGTGTATGTGTGTGTGTGTTGATGATTTGGTTTGGGTTTTTTTCCCCTTCAATCTAGTTTTAGGTTTGGCTACAATGTGAAGAGAAGTTGAAATCCCAGCAACAAACCACTGCCTTCTAAGTATAGAGTAAGTTTCCTTTCAAAATAAATTAAAGTTATATGACTTACCAACCCTTAAGCTAGTATAATCACTACTGCCTAATCTTATTAGTAGTTCATTCAGGTGACACTTTTCAAACCAGCCTGTTCAAGGATCTCCTGAGTACCCCATTCAGGTAAGTGACCTGGAGATGTGGAACTGCAGAGTCACTGTTTTAGACTGTTGCCACCAAACAAACAAAATCCTCTGCTAAAAACAGTCATTGACAAGTTAGAAACAAAATCTCAAGTCACAATTATATATGCCAAGAATTCAACAGTTCATGGAAGTTTTTCTCTAGGGCTCGGGAACTTTTAACAGACAATTTGGAGTCATGTAGTGTGAGCTAGGGCAAGCCTCAGGATTGAGACAGGCCAGTGGGGTCTGGAAATCTCTGAGCATGGCCTCAAGTATAAATCCTCAGACTGTAGATCTACTCATGCTGAAAATATTTTCTCCCTAACAGGACAATTTAAATACAATTATTTTATTCTTAAAATAAATACTTTTTACCACTTGTTTTCTTCTGGCAAAAAGAAAAGAAAATTGGAACTAGAGGAGTCCAACTGTCTAGGCTGTAACAGACCAAACATGTTACATTTACATTTGTTTCTTGATCGTAGACCAGGCGTATCCACCTCCATTGATTTGATTATTCCTCATGTGTCCTAAACTCAGTCAGGAGGATTTTTTATATATATTATTATTGTAAAATAGTTCTCTCAATGTATCTCAATAGTACTTCTATACTTAGCAAGTATTTAATAAATTATTCTTACTTCCAGACTAGCTAAGGAGAAACTACTGGAGTTAAAAAAAAAAAGCATCATTCTTTGTCAAGTGAGTAGTGGGGACGGTGGAGTTCCCAGATTTAGTGTCTCCAGTGCATCACCATGTCAGATCCTAGCTTTCCAAAGGTGTCTCTTCACCATATCTGGGGGAAGAGGGGGAGCAATATTATTTGATTAAGAAATAAACATTTATAATACTCAAACAAAAGAGCCCTTAAAGACATCAGTCACTTTGTGGGAAGGAGCCCAGATCCTTTTAAACAAGGGCTACTTGAGCCCTTTATTCTTTTGCCTGGAAAAGCTCTTTAATTAAAGGACCAATAAAAGAAATTCACTAAGAAAAGCAAAGAGATCCGGAGGCACACAGGGCACCCTGCGTGGTGTCTAGAGACAAACGCTGGATTCATGCAGATGTTTGTCAGTCACTATCCAGTCACAACAAAATCCCAGGCACAGCTGGTTTTGACAAACGTGCTTAGTTCCTACCTTCATTTCGATGACAGTCTGGAGAGCCTTCGTCTTGGCTGGTTCCGGCTGAAGTTGGCTTCTTCGGTGCAATTCCTGGGGAGGAACACGATAGAAGTAAGCCTGACGGTTCATCCTTCTGTTATACCATGACCTTTACACAGCTACCACACAGCCCACCAGGTACAGGTTCCCTGTATGTAGACATAAACAAGCCACAGGTGCCTCTTCCCCCACACTTCTCAGCATCCCTCCTGCCTGCAGCCTGTGTTCCGGTGAAAGGCTCCTGGCACATGCGCTATTTCTGAAACTTCCATCAATAATTAATGTCAACTGTGACAAAGCCAGAAAGTGATCATAGTCCAAACACTGTTCAACACGGGCTGGTGCCCAGCCTTCGAATCATAATTTACTAAATTATATTACTCTGTGCTTCCAGCACAAGCACAGCAAGGAGACAGAGGAAGGAAAATGACTAACGTGGCTGCAAATCTGCTGCTCGCATGGCATTCTGCTACAGAAGCAGGTCTGCACTGAGCGATTCAAAGCCATTTCAGTACAACCGCGACACTTTTGGAGTGCTCTGGTGAGTCCCTGTGAATCTCTCGCTTATGGTTTTACACTTTGGGTTCTTACTCAGAAATCACATCCGTGGGTGATATGCTTACAGATCATGATGCCAAGAAATTAAAACTGGCATTAAAATCAGCTCTGTCCAAGGAGAGACAAAACTGGTCAAACCCAAAACTCCTGGAAGGCTGAGATTCTCGTAGCTAAAGAGCAAATAGCACCATTATAATTTTAAGCTTGAACCCCCACCCCCCCACACCACACCACATGCTTCTCTTCAAAAGAACCACTTGCCAAGACTTTAAAAAGTCATCTTAGAAGAGAAAAAAACAAGGTTTGTTCATGTCATACTTTGATTTCCTTAACAAATATCAACCGTTTTGTGAAAGAAGTTACCAGGAGGGTAAATACAGGACTTACATATGCTGGCTGCTGATACAGGTCATTTATAAAGATTTCAGTAAGATTTATTTCTGGTTCCAGAAAAGCCAATTGACAATCAATATGGAGTGCCTCTCGGCTTTTGAACTGCTGGACTCTAAATGTTAATGTTGTAAAAAGCTGGAGAGAAGCAATATAATTTCTAGCTTTGCCCATAAGGGCATTTAAAGTGAACTACTTTTTAGCATTTCCATTCATTGACACCACCACTCCATAGAGATGGGACACACTGATGTAAAAACTGTTAGAAAAACACATTCCACACTAAAAGATAGCCCTATCCATGACAAGGTAATGAACAGGTAACTTTAATCAGTATCCTGCTTTAGTCATCTTTTATGCTAGTGACCAGGAAACTCTGACTGTGTGCCAAAGACCAGGCTGGATACTGACTATCACCATAAACTTGAGCTTGGAGTCCTGAGACTTGTAACCCACCCTCAATCCTCTGAGCAACATAAATCACCAATCTTACATAATATTGTTTCTCAAACTCAGATTTAAAACCCTTCCCCTAATTATTAAAGATGCTCACACATCAGTTACCACACTTCTTCTGGCAACACAGCCCTGAAGGGATGGAGTCTAGAGCTGCTGATCCTATTATACCAAGAGAGAAACAGAAAGATACCCTCAGTCTTTCCAGATGCTCATGACTGAAGGATCTGGTAATGTTCAGCTCCCTGGAGGCGGCAAGGGCTTTTGAAGGACCTACCTTATAGACAGTTGTCTTTTGTTAAGCATCTACTGTCTGTGGTACTGTTTGTTTCTTGAATGCCTCAGCACTACCAAATGAGGAAGATGACCTAGATAAAAAGTGAGTCTGATGTACTTCTTGGCAAATGTTTAAGCACCAGCACCCACCGTGGTCCACTTTAAGTCACCTAACTGGTGTCCTCTTAGAAGCTGAGAAGTGCTATGGCTGAGACACTATCTAACTGGGTCTCCAATGCTACATTAGAATCTTGGTTCTGTTCTGAGTGGCAGTGTGAGAGGTAGCAGAATCCTAAATTGTGCCCCAAGTGGGGGCCACTGACAACTAGGAACACTGTGTTCAGACAGGAGCAAGTACTCCTCATGGCACCCTGTTTTGGCATGTTTTCCTAAGAGGTCACTACTAGAGTAGGCCTGTCCATCAAGCATTCTGTCTCTTCACGTGACCCTGTCCCTCTCATATGTACCCTCATGAGACCATTCTTCAAGGCATGATACAGGCAGGAGCGTCCTGGGGCCCACACCATGTTGTATGAACTTTGAGCTTTCAGAACTGTATGTTCAATACATCACTTATTTTAGATAGTACCTAGTTTTGTCTTCAAGTAGAAAACACAGAAAATAGGACCACATATAGCATTTTCTAAGACACTAAAATTAAAAAAAACATATAATGTAATGACCTAATGGACAATGAGGGAATTATTAGTTTATTATAATTTACTTAATTCTGGGTTCGTATACTTAATTGTAATGATTTCAACATCTAGTTTTCATGGGTCACAACCAACCTAGTTCCACATACCATGGGTTGAATCTCACGTAAACTTCAACCTCTAAAGAAAGCTACTTAATCTTACAACTGCCTCCAACACTACAGCAGTTCACACAGACCAATCAAATCTCACAGATAAGAAAACAGTAAGTCACTCCTCAGAGCTGGCGCATGTAGTTATTGGTAAGGAAAAAAATACAGACTTTGCAAGTCTGCAGTTCTGATACCAAGTAGTGTCAAAACAATCTTTAAAGAGGGGAGACATGGCTCAGTGGTTAAGAGCACTGGCTGATCTTCCAGAGTGTTCAGGTTTAATTCCTAGCATCCATAGGGTGGCTAACAATTCTCTGTAACTCCAGTTCCAAGGGATCCAATGCCCTCTTCTGGCCTCTGTTGGCACTGCATGCATACAGTGTACAGCTATACATGCAAGCAAAACATCCATATATAAAAAGATAAAAATAAATCTTAAAATAATAATCTTGGATAAAAGGCAAATGTCCAGGCAGAGTGAAGCACACCCCTGTGATCCTCAGCACGCAGGATGCTGATGCACCCTAGGCCACAGAGCAAGACCCACCTTTTCAAACAAAGAAAAGCAGAGAAATAATAGTTTTGTTCCCTAATCAATCCTACCCTAGAATAAAAACTCTTAAGATGACTTGAGGAAATCAAGTCCAAATAATCAAGAAACATCAAATCAATGGAGCTAATTTTAAAACCACAGGGTAAAGGTATGTGTTACTCTAATTTCTGCAGAACACGAAAATATTAGGATAAACAGGCAATTTTTTTAAAAGCTAAAGATGTAGAATAATCTTGTGAAAACAGAAATTATTCTCTTTCTAGTCAACATATCTCTGACACAATAAATAGTAGCTCAGGCTCCAGTCTGGATTGTGCCTTCTACGTCACTCCTTAAAAAAAGAATGTACCTGGGATTTGTAATTCTTACCCTCACTGTAGTCTGTCCATCATGACTTCAGTTTGCAAAGATCAGGTAAGGTCCCTAGGTGTCAGGTAAGGAACTATTATAATCTGTGTGCAGAGTGCACAGAGCATCTGAAGGACCCATCTTAGTGATTCATTCATCTCTGAGCTTCAGAAAATGCTCACTGTGCCTTGGCAAGAAAAACCAATGATCCCTAAGATCTGGGCTCCTCGTTGTTAGGAAGCTCCTGCAACCACACCAATCTAAACCGACCTTTCTAACGAATAACACTTGGACAGAAATAAGAAAGCTCGCCCAGACAAACTTCTAAGCTACTCCTAGGCCTCTCTCTCTCTTCCTATCTGTTAATCCAGAGCTAAAGGACTCATAAAGCCAGAAAGATGGCAAGGCCTTAATATAAAAGAAGCCTGAGTCCCTGAAATACAATTTGAACATTGATTGAATTTTGAAATTTGATTCTGTGCAGCTACAGAAAAAGAGTATGAACTAACAATACACTCCTGTGAAGGTAAGGTTGGAGTTGCTGCCTTTACCTGGAGAAGCCCTAGCTTCTCCGCCTCAGCCTCTACAATGGCTGCAAGGAGGGAAAAAAAGCCTTATCAGTCCTGAGCTGTTGCTGCTTAGAAATTGCTAGAGACATTAGTGTGTGATGTGCCCAAGTTTTCCCAAATAGACAGTAGATAAATTCCCTCCTAGATGCTTGAAACTTCCTGCCTTCTGCAAGATGCACCTATCAAGCATCTGAAATGGTAAATGACTTTCCCTAGAAGAATTTGATGTTTCTACCAGGTAGGAAGGAGTACAAAGTTTAGCTTAAATACACTTCAACTCAAGGCTATTCTGATTCAAAGATTCCTACACAAATTGAATTTTTTAAAGTGTGAATTCTCTCTTATAGTGAACACACACATACACACACACACACACACACACACCAATGTGTAGTGCTTCATTGATTCACAGAGCCTAGATTGGAATTTTACTTTTGAACCAGGATTTGGGGCTAAAAGCACCCATGAAACTTTTAGCTCAAAGAGCATGCCATTAAGAGTCAGACATCAGGACCTTACATCCTCACCGGAGGAGCTGGATACATCCCTCCTCCTCCTCCTCCTCCTCCTCCTCCTCCTCCTCCTCTTCCTCCTCTTCCTCCTCCTCCCCATCTCTGGAACAAAGAAAAAGCTGCTTTCTGGAGATGAGGAAAGGCTAGAAGAACAATGCCTTCTAGCCTGAGAATAGTACTAATTTAATAAACAGCTGACTGAAATGCTAATCTCTGGCCAGTGTTTCTAGTCACACCAATTCTCAGTTTTAAAAACAGAAGGAAAAGAGAAGAAAAAAAGAAAAAAACCTGACAGTGCAAGTCCAACTGCCACCCTTGATTAGTCTGGAATTATACCAAGACTCTAGAATTCTGGGCATGAAGTCTCAAGTGGCTCACTGATGTGACATCTCTTGGCACATATTGAGCACAGACTGGAAAAGTGCTTGCTTCAAAATCATGGGGACCAACCCAATTCCAGCTTCCCAGCATCCAGTGAAAAAAGGGAGTGACAATAGATATCTGTGACCCCAGCACTGTGAGTGTGTGTGTGTGTGTGTGTGTGTGTGTGTGTGTGTGTGTATACACACATGGGAGACAGG